GATTTAAGGAGTGTAAGTCAACTCTTCTCCTTTGAACACTGCAATTTGTCGTTTGTTCGCTGATTTTAAACAAGATGGTATGGACCGCAATTGTGCTTAGCGCAATAGAATATCTTGAAGATCACTCTTGATAGTTGAAAAGTGAAGTTGCGACTGCTTACTAAATTAGCGCTCATAGTGGGACTCGAGTTATTACCCCAGTCGCCTCATTATGTACACGAAAGTTTTGATTTGACAAGCGTTCGCCTGATTATATCGCTCCTGAAACATACTATGTTGACGAATATACCTAAATTTTGCAAAAAACATTTTTTACTTTCTCACTTAGGCTCGAGAATTACTTACCGATGTATCAAGACAAGTGAAAAAGAGTACGAAATTATAACAGAAGAAGTTGAAAATATAACGCACAAATAAAAATGAGAAATCCTTATAAAAAACCCTGGAATGAAACTAGTTAATATTGCTCCTTTAAATAACACACAACAACATATGGAGAAACTGCTTGTAAAAGTAAGATTTTCGCGAATTATGCAAAAAAGTTAATAATAATAACAAATTCTGTTCAATTCCTAATAGTAGAGCACAATGAATTATCTAACTCAAGCCACCAGGATTTTTTTCTCGTCTTGAGAATTCCTTACTTTCAAAAAAAAAAAAATATTACCGGTAATTACGAACACGAATTTAGATTTCACTCGCATTTTTTAGGCCACTATACCGTCAGTATGAAAAATTTCCGGTTGTCTCTGCAAGACTCTTTACCCAAGCCTTTTGGAATAGCTTTCTGAAATGATTCTTCAACAAGCTATTGTTGTGTAGACTCACTAATTGCGAAGTTCGAGAAACTTTTTTGAACAATCAAATCTCAGTTGGACTGGTTAATATAATTTCTACCGAATAGATTGGTTTTCTTCTTTTTTGTTTTTGTTTCTTTTATCTATATTGTATTTTTATTTACGTTGTAAGACTAAAATTCTTTTAAAAATGATAAATTTGAATCAAAGAAGAAATGTAATATTTTTGTTTTGAGATTTTACGTTTGAAAAGTAGTAGGACAGAGTTTTTTATTTTTGCGTCGATTAATCGATTGAAAAATGCGTAGAAACTGAATGTTTTACTAATAGTTTGCATTATGTTACTTAGCTACTAAAATTTACGACTGTGTGTTGACTTTGCAAGTACTTTTAACGAAGAAGAAAGTATAAATTTCGGAAATATTTATTCTACGTAGAGAGTTTCAACAAAATCGAAGGAGTATATAAGGGTTTTGAAAGCTGATTGTATTATAAATAATGACGGTCACTAATCGAGTAAATAGCATTTGTTAAGGGATTTCTTAATCGCCAAACAATTTGTATTTTTCGTTTTCCATTAGATGGATATTGAGTGTGCCTGTAAGGGTGAAGGCTTTCGTTCATACTACATACAGAAAATCGAAGAGCTCCAATTGATTTTAGCCGAAAAAAGCCAAAATTTAAGACGTCTCGAAGCTCAACGTAATGAATTGAATGCTAAAGGTAAATGAAATTTTTAAAAGGAAATGGCATAAGATAATATTGCAACAACAATTTTGCTTCCTTTACAGTGCGTATGCTGCGCGAAGAACTACAACTACTGCAGGAACAAGGCAGCTACGTAGGCGAAGTGGTTAAGCCAATGGATAAGAAGAAGGTTTTAGTGAAAGTTCACCCTGAAGGCAAATTTGTGGTAGACATTGATAAAAATATTGATATCAACGATGTCACGCCAAATTGTCGTGTGGCATTGCGCAACGAGAGTTATACTTTGCATAAAATTCTTCCTAATAAAGTTGATCCTTTGGTTTCTCTCATGATGGTCGAAAAGGTGCCAGATTCCACCTATGAAATGGTGGGTGGTCTAGATAAGCAAATCAAGGAAATTAAAGAAGTTATTGAGCTACCGGTTAAGCATCCAGAATTATTTGATGCTTTGGGTATTGCTCAACCCAAGGGTGTGCTGCTGTATGGCCCGCCCGGTACTGGGAAGACTTTATTAGCCCGTGCTGTTGCTCATCATACTGAATGCACTTTCATACGCGTTTCTGGCTCAGAACTTGTGCAGAAATTTATCGGCGAAGGTTCCCGAATGGTGCGCGAATTATTCGTGATGGCTCGAGAGCACGCACCTTCCATAATATTTATGGATGAAATTGATTCTATTGGTTCATCACGTATTGAGTCTGGCTCAGGAGGCGATTCTGAAGTTCAACGTACGATGTTAGAATTACTGAATCAATTAGACGGTTTTGAGGCTACTAAAAATATAAAAGTTATCATGGCGACAAATCGCATTGACATCTTAGATCCTGCTCTCTTACGCCCTGGACGCATTGATCGGAAGATAGAATTTCCACCGCCAAATGAAGAAGCTCGTCTTGACATTCTCAAAATTCATTCGCGTAAAATGAATTTGACACGTGGTATTAATTTACGTAAAATTGCCGAATTAATGCCAGGAGCATCAGGTGCTGAAGTAAAAGGAGTTTGTACAGAGGCCGGTATGTATGCGTTACGTGAACGGCGTGTTCACGTTACTCAGGAAGACTTTGAAATGGCTGTAGCCAAGGTGATGCAAAAGGATTCCGAAAAAAATATGTCTATTAAGAAGCTGTGGAAATAAATTTACAAGATTGCTTCTTTGATAAAATATAACATAAATATATGATTTTCATAATGACATTAGAATTTTCCATTTCCATTAAGTGCTCTAATAATTATACAAAAATTTGAACGTATTTTCTAAGAGTGATGCTCCAGTACCTTTAAAAAAATGGAAAAAATTGACCACGCCTACCCAATGTCATAGTTTATAACAATTTCATTTTTTCTTCAGTATGCCAAAATCAGTTTGCTCCTTTTACACATCAAAAGATATTGAAAAGTACTTTTCCGGATTATCTGCAGCCAAATTTCTGCCTTTTTGCAAAAATTTTTTAGTCAGGTTGACGTATATCAAGTGATCTTTAAGTGAATAAGATGGACTTGCACCGCTTTCGAAATAAATATATTGAAAATACCGTTCACAACCAAAGCTTCCTTTTTCCAAATCTTAAAGAATCTATTTTTTGTTTTGATTATAAGTTGTTTTCAAGATAAGTAAGAAAATTATACTTGACCGTGACCCGATCTTTAATCCCCATTAGCCTTATAGTGAAAAAGACAAAAAAAGTAAAAGGACTAAATTTTAATACTCTACAATATGGAGCAGGAGCGACTGATTTTTGTTATTTTCAAACCGAGGTATATGTGCGTGAGCATTGTCGGCGATATCTTCATTTCTGCGAAAGTGAGAATGTTTACCATAGATGGTACGGACAAATGGACCGACAAACAGGAATATGTTTAGATGCATTTCAAATTTGAAACTGGAGAAGAATTTATGTAATTTATGCAGCTTTTGAAGCTTGTTTCTGCGCGCTTTAAAGACATTGAACAAAATATGAAATTATTCTACAGTATAACATTGGGTAAGAGCGGGAAACATCTTCCATCTCTCATAGCATATATGTTCAAATTGTTATGGATTTATCTTCCGTATTTTCTTACTAATGAGCAAAACAGCAATTTTTTATTCCTTTTGCAAAACAGAGATATTCCCAGTTGGGGTCGTGCTGTCGGCGTGCTTTCAATCAATTTGACCTATTTCCAATGTTTCTACCAAATTCAAAATCGATAGTTCCATTTTTGCTGCCAGGTGAACGTCTACATCAGACATTCCAGAGGCGAACAGACAGTCACACAGACACACTTAAATCGATTCAGAATTTCATACATTGTGAGGTATCTGAAATTTCCTTCTAGGCATTGTCAACGTTTAAATAAAATGAATATACCGCTCGTCCTTCAGTGTTAGGTACAAAAAGGAAAAAATCTATACTGGGCCGTGGCACACTATTAAATACTCTACATCGTGTTACCGGTATTTATTTTTAATGCGAAGCTTTGTATGGCAAACTGATTCGATTCGAACGGTTTTCAATGGCGAAACAGTCGCTGAGCCGAAATACGTCAGTGCACCAAGGACGGACGATCAGTAAGTGTTATGCGGCATTTACTTCATAAAGATTTGAACCCGCGAACAACGATTTCGTAGTCGCCATTCTTATCTTTTCTTATGCTTGGACCATTCTCCTAATTTTGGGTCATAGATTTAATAACATGAAAATTCTCATATTCTATCTATTAATACCAAGCTGCAAGCAACAACAGCCACGAAGTCTAATTCTTAGTAGTATTTTGTCTAAATAAAGAAATCACCAGTTATATTAAGTCATTTCCAATCATTAACGGTTTGAAATAAATCGTTTGATACGAAATAATTGACGAAGATAATTATTATTCTTACCCCATGAAGGGGATCGAAACTTCTTAATTCAAACGCGTACATAGCTTTTTTTCTTGTTTGAAAATATATTTTGCTGTCACTTATTCCTCATATTTAAAGCATATTTTAAATTTAATTCATTTTTCACATTTGTTTCTTTTTGAAGCAAATTTTTTGTGGAAATTTAATACAAAACAGTTTCGGAAAATTTATTCTGTGCTTAACGATATTTGGGAATGTGGTGGACGCTTCAGCCGCATGATTCGATTGGTCAACATAGTTAATCATGGTGCTATCGTCATAATATGCATACGAACTGTGGTCGTAATCAGGTGCACCTAAAGATAGTGGTGGAGCAGGAGCTGGCATCAAATTTCATAACTGTTCGCAACCTCACGTTGATCGTAGCCCCCGATTCATTTGAGACGTTTTCTTATCGCCGCTATTATGGCTTAGTGGATTGCTATAGGTGCGCAAAAAGTCATAATTCAGTTTTCTATTGAACGAAATGAATTTTCGAAAGAATGTGATTTCCTACACAATTTTCTTGACACCTAAAAAAATAAAATTGTCTGATTGATTCATATAAAAATATGTTGACATGTTTAGTGACTTTTTACTAATTAGAGAATTCGATTAAAACAAGGATATCTTAAAAGGCATCGATAACGATAACTCTGCGCATGTAAAATGACAATTAATAATTCCTGGGATTGACATAGGGATGTGTTCTCAATATATATAGTTCATATTTTTAGAAAGTGCCAACGCTGAGGCAACGCCTGCTAAAATTCCATGACATTTCGATAACTTTTCACAGGGGTTTTAGCGCCACTACTTTCGTTATTTTTATAATAATGGA